TTGGTGTTGTCATGATTCACTCATGTAGTTGCGCCAACAGTGTCCCATCAACATTGTGTCCCATCAACACAATAGATTCGAAACCCATTAGCACTACAACAATGGGAAAGTGGCAACCTTCATCACACATTGCACGGTCTCGAACGAGTTCCGTTGTCATGGCCGGAAGACCTACCAAGTAACATGAGACTCACGTTGTTTGGAAGTAGCTGTAAGCACTTTTAGAAGTCACTACGGCCCAACAAGGATCAAGTCCATCACACGTCACAGAAACAAAGGGATCTACAGTAGCAGATGCAGACCGCATCAAGAACTAATAGCTGTCATAGGTGTGTCAACATGGTGCTACATAGCGTTTTATTGTTTCGATGTATTACTTTGACTTCACTGCATAACGTGCGATTCCTCCATCATAATGTTGCTCGCTGCCATTCAACATGATAAATGAACATAATTTATTCGGTACTTTTATACTGGTAATGCTTACTTTCTACAACTGTCGACTTCAGCGCATTGGTACAGCGTCAGACTATCAATCCAAAGGTCCAGAGTTCAATACTACTTATTTTTATCATAATCAGCACAAATTTCCATTTGTTTACACTGTTAGCCATGACTCAAATTAGCACGCAGCATTAGCGTTGATCTTGGCAGCTTACTCGGTTTGGACGTGTTCCATTAGGTTTACGACGATGGGACTGGCGGGGGACCGGGCACTCGCAGGGAGCACCGAAAACCCGCCTGGCGTCACCCGCGCCCCTTGCACCGGCGCCGCCGCCGACATCGTCGCTTGCACCCGAGGGGGTGAGCGCCCTGGCACCGGCGATCGCCCACGCGAGCGCGATCGCGGGATCGCGATGGACAGCGACGGGTCGGCAGTTCTCTGTGCGAGTCGGGCCAACTACAACTTGGCATTCAGAGGATTATGTCAAACAGCATTTACCTCAGGTCCGCGTCGCATATTTATGCGGGCGGTGATCCGCGCGACAGACCGTGCGTCCAAACTTCTGTCACCGCACCCCGGCGAAATTATACAGCGAGTTGGCCAACCGCCCCGCTGTCAGCGATAACTGCACATGCCACCTGCTGCCTTGCCCGACCAGCGTTCGCACAAACGCTGCAATGTACTCTAGGAATGTTTCATCATTGCAAAGCTCGATCCGCCACACGTCAACAGTCCAGCGCTCCAGGCGCTCGCGTTCATGAAACTCGCGCATGGCGCCCTTGCACTCATCGAGCCGGTGAAGACTTACCCTCGCAAGCTGCATGCATTCCATGGCAAGTAGCATCCACAACACCCGCACAAACAACAAGCGCAGGTATCGTTCCACGCCGGTAGCATTGGCCGTCTGGTATCCCCAATCGTCGCGAGTCTCGTCGAACTCGCGCACCACCGTCAAACGGCGCGTAACGTAGATCACATACCCCAAGTCCACGCCACCCCTACCGGCAGGCGTGAAGATCCGAGAGAGATCCCAGTGGAACCCCAGCTCTCGCTCGAACACATTGTCTCGGGCGAAGCCGGTCCGCTCCGGCCCACCAAGTTCGGCCTTCACTTTGGCCTCCGTCTTTACGGCGGTTCCCACGCCGCTCGCCTTTTCTTCTTTTCCCCCAACGCCCGTAGCGTTGGGATGTCCCCCATCACCTGAAGGTGTCCCAGTCACACCTTCGCTGGTCGCCTTCCTCGCTGCTTCCGCAGCCTCCTTGGCTGCTTCGTCCGCCGCCTTCGCCGCAGCCGCTGCGATCACTTTGGCCTCTTCGGCGCGCCTTGCCTTCGCCTTCACCTCTTCGGCCGCTCTTGCCTTCTTGGCGGCCTCCTCCCGTGCCAAGTGCTGCTCCAGCAGCTTTTGCACACCTTCGGCGCCCACTGTTTGCATGGCACTCTTCACCAAGTCGGCAGTCGCTTCCTGCTCCAGCTGTCCAAGCCGTTCGATCTTCACAGCCGCCTCGGCCTCCCAGTCGACCTTGCGATACTTCTGGTACTCGCGCATAAACGCGCGTCTTTCGGCCTTGGTCGAGCCCGAAAATGTCGGCGGCTGCGGGAGCGCCGGCGCGGTCCAAACTTACGGCGCCGTACGGCCGTAACCGACATCGCTGCCCATGTCCGTATCGTCACGGTCGTCCGACGGGTCGTTGTCGGCTGGCACAGGCACTAAAGCGCCATCTGCTTCAGTCGTTGGTGGTGCAGCAGCTGAGACAAACGCTGCGACAGCTGGTATTCCTCGGGTGGTGGCAGGGGCGTAAAACCCACCACATGGCGGTTGCCATTCGTCGACAGCAGGTGGCTGTCGTCGTCAGGGAGATCTGAACGCGCTCTCAACGGCGCGTCCTCGCTGGTTCTCGATCCGGTCACGCGACCGCGATCGTTCATTGGGTTTCATTGGCGTTTCCTCGTCGGAGGAATGTTCGCGTACCATCTCCACTGAATAGCTCAACAATGAACTAAAAATGTATTTGTTTTGTCTCCCGCTTCTTCTTGGATTTCGGTCACGGGATCTTCGTCAATGTAGCAAATATAACACTGACATTAGTGAGGTTAAACACGCCACGAGGCGCCTACTGCCTACCATTCACTAAAGTACTCAGTACCTCCATTAAGGTATCGGAACCTTTGACACGGCACACACACAGAGTGTGTGTGTTTGCAAACTATTGCTCTGCACGCTGCAGAACACCAGTCCCACATACACATCAACAGACATACCTACTTGTCTACGTTCGTGTCAAACACCTCGCGCCACCGACCATGGCGCACATCAGCACACATAAACTACTTCTATCTCGGTCATTCCTTGGCCAAAACCAGTTCCATGTACGTATCGACAGCCATTCGTGCCGACGTATGTGCCGACCGAGCCGTAGTATGTTAAATTATGTGTACAAAATGTACGCTGTACATCTGGTAATCACTGTGTGACAGCCAAAACTCACGTGGCGGGCGTGGTGGCCATCATCCACAGCGTTCAACCAAAAGCCACGTACGACCAAGTGTACAATGTAAAGTACAAGAATTATATTACCACGGTTTAGGTGTCGAGTAGCACTTGTCGTTCAAGTCAATGAACATTGCCATGTTGAACGCCGCCAGTTTGTCCACGACCTCGCGTGTGGCACCCGGAACGTACGCCGACGCTCTGATCCACAGTGACACGACGTGCTTGGGGTCTGCACCAAGCTTGAACGCCGCCACCAACGGGTTGTAATCGAAGTGACGCGGTTGCCCGGCGCGACTGACCCTGTCAAAAGAGCTACGGGGCCATTGGTGCTTCCATATGAGAGAATCCCTCAGCGGAGACACCAGTCCAAGAATGAGTTGTTTTGGCCAAGGAATCGCCGAAATTGAAATTTGAAATTTTCGCGGTATTTACAAGCTCTCTATCGCCCGAGCGCGCGCATATGCAGCGTCGCCCGCAAACTAGACTAATCTAGCGGATGGAGCTTGTGCATGTTCACACCGGGGTGGTTCATGCATCGGCCTCAGTCTGTCGGGCCTTCGTTAGTGTGCGGTGTGCTGTGGGTCGTGTCTGGTCGGTGTTGCTAGAGTTGTTGGTGCCTTGCAGACCTTGTTTCCGGTGGTCGGCGCGGTGGTCTGCGTCGTCGCGTTCGTGTAGCGATTTGTTGGTCGTGTGATGCGGCGGTGTTGTCGATAAGGCCTTGTGCCCGCTGCCCAAGCCATGTGTCTATGTCACGGGTCCGGCGGGCTTTCGCTTGGCGTAGGTTTGTGTCCATGGCAGCCGGGGTGTCATCGTGAGCCCGGTGGCGTTGTATGATGCCGGTGTTGACCGCTTGTGCTAGTGCGGTATCGCCGTCCAGTGCGGTAGCTAGGTATTGTTCGTGATACGTGTGGGTCCAGTACGCGTGTAGTGTAGTCCAATGGGTAGTGAACCATCGGCGGTGAAAGTCTTTGCCGAGTCGTGGGGTGAGAGAGAGTGCGATGGCCCTTTGTAGTGTGTTGTTAGTCATAGTCGGGAGCCGTTGCCATGCGGCTGGTGCCCGGTATATATGTGGAAAGCTGGCTCGCAGCCAGCTGTGCACCTCGTGGCACGTCGGGTCTTCTGGGTCGCCGTCGTTATCGGCATCCCATCGGATTCCCTGGGTGTAGGCCGGTGGGGGGCTGGGGAGAGTGTTGCGCGGTGGATTCATGAGCCACGTCATTTGGCCCCAGTGCTGAAGCGCGTGGGCCCAGTGTGTCGGAGTCTGGTGACACAATGTACCCCAGGAGGATGTCCACCTTGTTCATATTTGTCAGCCCAGCCCATCTCGGCGGCGATAAGAACGTAATTCTGGAGTGGTGGCGCATTCGTAGTTGCCCCGCCGTGATGTGCAGGTTCCACGTGGCCCCTGACGCGTCCAGTGTGCGGTGACCGGTGGAGTTTTTGTAGTAGATACACCAGTACTCATACGGGCCGGCCATTGCAGCCGTCGTTGTGATTTCGTTTGCGAGTGTCCTCCACCATTGGTCGGTGCGGCCTTGTAGTATAACATCGATCCACCAGAACCAGTGACCTAGTGCCGGGGCGTCGTCCTTTCGTGTACTGCAGCTGTCCCAAGGGCCGTTGTATGTAGCGGGCTGTTCCGTGCCCATTTGTTGTGCGAGCCATATTTCGCGCTGTGCTAGAAGGGGTTGAGCGGATAGCGCAGTACGGCCCAGCCATCGTGGTGTGATGTACCCGTATTGGCCGGCGCGGAGTTGCATGTTTTCCCACCGTATTTGGGAAATAAGTTCGCCGGCGGAGGTACTGGCGAGCGGAAGCTGCGTAAGTCGGGAGAGGTGGAGCCCATGCATGTGCCAGGAGCCGGTGAGTATGATCATGGGTTGGTATGTTGTACTGTGTGTGGGCCGTTGCCGTTCATTTTCGTGCCATGCCTCGGCCAGTGGTAAATCGAACGTAATTGCCATCCGTGGTGGGTATATGTGCTGGTCCCGTAGCCAGCTCATCGTGCATGTTTTATGCAGTCGGTGTCCGAGACGGCTGTCGAGGTGGCCGGATTCAGAGCATGTCGGTGCCGAGATCCCGAAACGGTGGCCGACCGTGTCGCGCGGGTTTTCATAGCAGAGTCGGCAGTGCGGACCCCAACGGCAGTCCAACCGGTGTTTCGCTGCGTTGGTATGTAAAGTCATCGCGATAGTCCGCCAGTAGAACCGTGTGAGGCCCCTCTTCCACCACACGTCGTTTTTTTTCTCTGGTGTTTCGAGCCCGGTGGGCAGTATAGTGCGGCGATCCGTGGAGTAAGCCGCTTGTTGGTCGCCCACTTGTTCGTGGCGAGCCGGTTGCCTAGCCAGCGGAGTGTGTTTCCCATGACCGATGAGTTGCCCAGTATCGAGTATAATGGGAAGCGTTTGTGGGTTGGGCATAGCAATGTGATGAGCCTCCGTAGCCAGTGTGTCCACTGTCGCGAGTGCCTCCCGTTGTGCTTGCAGTTGCCGGTCGGTGGTATGTTCATGTTTCTGGTGAGATCGGACCCACACAGTATGGAAAGAGCCGCATGGACGCATCACCGACATGAGGCCCCGGAGTTCTGCGCAGAAAGGGTGACTGTATCGGATCGGCCACGGTTTCAGCATCCGACGGCGTGCGGCGCGGTGGATGGCCCCAGCGCTCGTATTGTCACATATCTGTGTGCCGAGATCGTGGCCGAGAACGTTGCCAGCTATGATCGCGTGTGATTCACAACGTGTTGAGGAGAGGTCCTCGGGGTTGCAGTAAGTGCGGCCGTAGACAATGGTCGCGCCATGTTGCACTGCCCAGCTACCTTGTGCCGTAGGTGTACCCCCGTGGTGGACACTGCCGTCCCCGGCTGGTAGGTTAATGGGTCTGGTGGAGTGGCCCTGCTGTGTCGGAAACGACTGGTGGTGTAGTGTTTGCCATGGAGGAGGCGCGGTCTCGCACTCAGCAGGCGCAGTGTGCATGATGCACCCGGTGGCACCTACCGCACTCATTTAACCCCGGGGGACGAGAGCAGTACGTGCAGAGTCCAGCGTCGGCTGCCCCGTGGGCCTGTTCGATTCGGGCCCTGTCCCGTCGGTATGTGTCCAGAACAATATGCCGGGAGTTAAGACCAGTACGGCCACCGTAGTGTGAGTCCGTCCAGACGAGCACCGTGGTCGTACGCATCCGCCGCGTTGAGTAGACGATCTGAATAGACGTGCAGTTGGAGGCGTGTTCCCAACGCGTCCTGCCGTGCCAGTGGTGTGGCCGCGGTGCCGACCATATACCTGACCCCCTCCGGTTTTCGTGTCAGTTGGTGATCGTAAGCTGGATACCGGAGGCATCGGTGCGGGTGGCCAAAGACGTCCGTTGACCGATGACATAGCTGAGTTCGTCCGGCCGGGTTAGCAGCACCGCCCGGAGCACGAGGCCATAAAGTGGTGTATCGACGTAGTTGCCCATAGTTGTGGCCGGACGTGGCGAGCGCCCTACAGGCAGCCGGAGCCGGCGGGGTCCCGGTAGTATAGGGATTGCCTGAAGGGCGCGTCGCAGAGTGAGGAGTGCCGTCCCGGGCCACCCCGTGCGGACCGCTAATGTGTCGTCGTCTAATACATATGTCCCATCGATGTTGCAGACGTCACCGACGTGCCGGAGTTGCCATGGGAAGCGTCGATTAATGACCATGAGTGCACCGACCTGTTGTCCGTCCAGCAGTGGGAGGATGGGCCGGTCATTGTAACGCTTCGGCGCCTGCCACGTGGGTGAAGTGCAGCGCGCCACTACATCGCAGGTGGCCGCGTGTTTCTCAAGGAGACCGAGCGTTGTACCAAGGAACGACGTGTCGGCCGGTTTCATCTTTGCAGGTTGTGCCAGTGGGTGCGTTGTAAGTCCGTGACGTTTAGCCCAGTCTTCGAGTGCCTCCATCATGACATCATAGACCAGACTACCAGGCGTGTTGCAGATGTGGAGTACCACGTGTATTCGCGCCACCTCACTGTGGGTTTCACATGCTCGGAGACCAAGCCCATGGACCGTGTCGTAGTAGAACGCCCGTGGTGTGCAATAGGGGAGCCGGAAGTTGCGCCGTGCTGCCCGTCGTATGAGAGTATCGAAGGCCGATGCGACGTGGATGGCCGGACTGAGCGTCTACGGTAAAGTATCCGTGGCAACCACACCGTGTTGACGAGGTATTGAAATTGGCGTAGTGTAAGTTGGCAAGCGGCTGCGCGGTGAACGTCCTGCTTTAGTTTCGTCCAGGTGGCGCTGATTGTGATGTCCCACGTACCACCAAAGCCTTGTTGTATACCGAGGTGCTTGAACCCTTCAATCGGTGGTTCCATAGTGACCGGTTGGGGTAGGCCGAGGCCGTCATTGAGGTCGACTGTGGGGTAGTGCAGGCCACTGGGGGTATATCATGAACGATTTCGCCGCCCCGAAAACACCCCCGGATCCGAGAATGCCCGTGAAGATGTTCGATGTTGTCCGGTGTTGAATACCAGTGTACGAGGTGGCATTGTCTAGCGCATCATCAACGAACAGCGTACTATTGATGACGCGTCGGACTGGTGCGCCGTCCGGGCTTTGATGGTGTAGGATGTTAACGCCGTCGGGCCCTTGCTGTTGACGGCGTTGAAGGACGTCCATATAATACCCGATATGCATGACCGCGAGTATCGATCCCTGGCCGAGCCCAAATTCTCGAGTGCCCCCGTTCAGCCAGCCGAATGCATTGCGTATGTCGATTTGCACCGATGTCAGAAAAGCAGCCATTAGGCGTCGTGGCGTTGCGGGAATGCCAAGTTTTGAAGGTACACGTACTCCATTACCCATCCGGGCACACGATCGTAGCATTTCAGGCAGTCCTTCGATACGAGGAAGAGTTCATGGCCCTTGCGCTGCGCCCGTTCAAGCAGTAGCGTTGTGAGTATTGCAGCGTCGTGTACCGTCCGGTGGCGCTGAAAACCGTGTTGTAGCTCCTCGTTCGGTAGTTGTGGACCGATATAGTTCCGTATAACCGTGAAGACGCGGCTTGCAAATGCACTCTGGACGGTGATTGGCCGCCATGGTGGGCTACCAGGGTCGAGGCCGACGACACCGTGCGCCGTGGCCGCCTTGGGCAGAAAAATCATCTGCTTGCGTTTGAGTGATGGTGGGACGAGGCCCGTGCGAAGGATAGTATTGATGATAAGGCTTTCTCGTTCCCGGATGGCCGGCGGGGCGGCTATCCAGAGTTCCTGGCTGACGCCGCCAAAACCGGGTGAGACGCCTCGTCGAAGCGTCCGATCGCATTGCGCCTGGCAGTCAGCGTCGTAGCGATACGCATCCCACGTGCACTTTCCATTGTGGAGAAAAGCATGGTGGATCGGCGGTGGTTGGGCCATATCGTCCACGAGCCACTCCCGAATAAAACGGGGTGCTGACGGACCGTCACGTACGTCCCACGTGTCCAGGTGAGTCGGTCGCGTGGTGCGTTCGTTCGCCGGTATCCAGTTATCCAAGGTAGCCCGTAGACCGGCTTCCACGTCCCGGCGGCGTTCGCTGTAACGTGTTTGGTCGTTGGCGTCCCTGATCATCACGCTCTTGATATGGACCGGGGGAAGTGCCGGCCCGGTTACTTGCCGAATAAATGACCTCATACGGCCGGTGCTAAAGGCGGCTTGATGGTTGGCCGTGCGCCGTACCCGCCGTTGGGTGTCCCTCCAGTTGCGTCGTGTGCGACATGTGCGTTTCCAGATTGCGAAGCCCTCAAGTAGCCAATTTTGCCATGCGTTAATGTCCGAGGCCTGTTCCGGAGGCCGGTCTTTCCATTCCCGGATTTGAGTGGCGCCGGTACGGTGTGGGCTGTCCTCTGGGGCGGCTAGGGGGTCGATCACCCACTTTGGCCATTCTATCCCTCGGACCGCCAGGATGATGGCGTTGGCCTCCAACGGCGCCCCGGCGTGCTGCCTCATGATGTGGCGCCAGTGGCCGTTACACCGGATGGTACGTTTGACGCAGATATCGCGGTGGATTGTCGTCCGCGTTTGTGATGTTTCGCCCCATAGCAGTGCCGCCCCGCGGTACAGGATATGTGTAACGTTACTCAGGGCCAGTTCCAACCAAGCTGTCACCTCGTCCGGCTGCTCGGAGCTGCACGGTGGGATGAGCTTCGGTACAGCCCCTGTTCGGATAGTATCGGTGATGTAGGGGCCGAAGCGCGCAAGTTCCGTAGGCGTAATACGGCGTGTATTGACACCCTTGATCGCTTGTACGTCCTGTAACCGATGTCGTGAGCGTTCTGAAGTATCGAGTCGCAGCTCTACGACCGGGGTGCCGACGTGATCACTGGAGTGGATGGAGTCGAGCCAGATACCAGCCCCCGTGACTTTCCACGCTGCTCGTGTGTTAATGAATATGTCGTCCAGTGTCGTGGCCGTGTTGGCGCGTTGGTATGTGTGCCGGTCTAGGTCGGGCCACCGCAGGCGGAATGTAGAAACCCACTGGTTGGCGTGCAACCACTGTTCGAATTCCTGCCCGGTCGCGTACGCGTTCGCCGGTCGTGTTTCCGGGTTCCGGCGGTCGTGTGGGCTGGTGCCGTAGGTGTTCCAGTCGCCACCAGCAATAACGATTGCCCGTGCTGCGTTGGCTCGGTCATTGCAATCAGACAGCCATTCCCATTCCAGACGGACGGCGTCCATACAGGTGTGTGGGTTATCGTGACCGTAGGTCCCCAGGAACCATATCAGTCCGACCTGACCCAGGCGGACCGGCACCATGAGGCTGCGTCCAGACGGGGAGTATTGTATTGCCCTGCGGTCGATGCGCGCCGTCCAGCGCTCCCGTAGGAAAACCATCGCCACTCGGCCGTGTCCAAAGATGATAAGCCCGGGGGCTGGTCCGCCTTGTTGTTGTGCCGTCCAGACCTGTGACCCCGCACGTGCGCCCCAGTCCGAGTCTGCCATGAACAATACGTCTATAGCGTTGGCGAGAAACCAGTTCGCGATCTCTTCGTGCATTTTCGGCCATGTCTGTTTGTTAATGTTGGTGGAGGCGATCCGGATGTTGTTGTCCTGCCTACGGCCATGAAGCGGGTCCCCAATGTATGTGCCGCTAGCGAAGTCCTCGCGTCTGCGGATTTCGGCCTGTACCGCAACGTCGGTGTCCGTACGTGCCGGTATGAATGTGGTACGCCTCGGCGTCCATGTGCGTCGTTGCCGCTTACCACGCGTCGTGCGAGGCCTACCCGCGAGGGACGCATCCGAGCATTCCGAGTTGCGGGAGTCGTCGGACGAGTAACCCCCATTTTCGTGTTGATCGGCCTGGGTGACAGCCCGTCCATGGGTCCATGCAGCCAGGTTGGGGTAGAGCATGTCCTGGTGAAGTCCGGCCGGTGTGTGTATGTGTGCCGCAAGTGTACCCGGCAGGAATGTCAAAACGACGGAAAACACGTGCCAGTATATTCCAACTAAGATGATCGGCCACCTAACATGCCACCGGCGTCGTGGTGGCACCGTTATCGACGCCGGAGTTAAAAATCCGAAGTTTCCGACGCCGCCGGCGGGGCGTGCGCGGAGGAGGCATTATTCGATGCCGCTGCCATGCGCTCCACGGCAGCCTGTTGATCAGCCATGCTGTTGGCGATGGCCCGGAGCATCGTAAGCGTGTTGGATTGCTCCTGGCGAAGCGCCGTCATGTCCATAGTGATGGTGCGCTGTTGCTCGGCCACCTGAGTCTCCAATTGGGTCGTACGTGCGTCAGCGTCGTGGATGAGCTCCGTTTGTTCCGCCACTGTAGCCTCTGTGATGTCGATGCGGTCTTCATGGGTGGCCGTGCGGTGCTGGAGAACAGTGATCGCTGCCGCCTGCCTGGTGATAATATCCGTGAAATATGCTTGTTGTTGTTGGAGCTGCGCGGCAAAAAGTAGCCTGTAAACGGTGCTCGGCGGCCACCGCCTGGTGGGCCAGTTGTGAAGTGATTTCCTGTTGCACCGTACGCGCAACCAGTGCCTGCGTGGCCGCCATCGCCGCAGCCGCTGCGGGTACAGTCCGAACCAATGCCTGTTCCGGTTGCCAGCGTGCCGCCAAACCGACGCTGTGCGTGGATCGGGAGCGCGACTTCCCGCGTGTTGTGGCCGTAGTGTTGCTGCGTCGTGAGCCCTCCGCGTCAGGGTTGCGACCGCCAGGTGTCCACCGGTCGTCAGCGGTCTCGGAGATAGGGCAGTCAGCCGCCATATGGCCGAGCTGACCACAGTCGTGGCAGGCGATGCGTGACAGGTCCAACGGTGCGCGCATCGTACCGACGGCGTGATAGACGAAAAATCGTTGGTTGCCGTTCCATAGTGGTTGTCCCCGTGGACCGTACATGTGGTATACGTGTGCGGCCGCCGAAGTCTGCGTGAAAGTGAGCCACGCTACCGTTCCTTCAATGTCGACGTGTACGTCTTCCTCCAGCGCTGCATTCAGTCGGAGGAGGGTCTGGATTTCCGTGGCTGTGTTGGCTGTCGAGATTGGTGCTAGCCGGAGCATGGTGTTGAGGTACGTCGGTCCCTCGCGACTGTCGGGGTGAAACAACTGGCCGGATAGACGGTGCCAGAGGAACTCGTGGAGCGGCATGAGCCGGGTATGGCGGTCTTGGCTCGACAACGTGCGGCCAAGGTCAGCATGCATTTGGCGGTACTGCGCATAGACTCGTTGGGCTGTGGCCACCCCGGGGAATGCCAGCCGGAAATTATGCCCGGACGTACAGTACAGTACGTGCGTGTTTCGGTGAGTTAATGCATCCGATAGCCGGCCAGCGCGAGTGGTTCGGCCCGTTTCGCGCGTGAGACATAACCACCGCATCGCGTGCACCGAGTCCCCGGATGTAACGGAGGAGGAGTGCCGGTGTGACCGTAAAAGAACATTGGTACTCCAGTTGATTGGCTGAGTAGTTGTCCTTGGGGTGGCCAGCGAAGTCGAACGACATCGCAACGTCAATGTGTTGCAGGGCGAGATACCCACGTTTAACGGCGCCCCATACGTTTATGTCCACTGGGTGTGGTGTGCCCACGAGGCCCCGGTCGGAGGTGCCGGTTGTGAGTCGTAGTCCAGCGGGGAATGTAATACCCCAGCGTTGTTGGCAAGCCGTGAGGATCTCCTGCCGGACCTCCATGATCGTGGGGTGTGGGCTGGTTTCGTCAGGCAGGTCGCGTGGTGGTTGCATGAAGAAAGCAAGACCCAGCCGTGTCTGCCGCAGTTCGGCCTCGATCTCGTCAATATCCGTGCGCGTGAGCCCAAGGAAGAGATCGTCCTCATTGGCGTAGAAGCGTTTTTCGCCGGCGGATTGGATGGCGGCTGGGTCGCGGCGCTGGATGTTTCTGCCTGGGTAGTACAGTGTACCATCATCCACAAAAGTTGCGGCACCCGGCGTTGCGGCTTGTGTGGTAGGAGTAG